ATGTATTAAAATAAAATATCATTCCCTCACTATTAGTGTCATTCCCTCACTTTTTAAATAGTGAAAATAATTAATTTACTTATTAATTAATTTGAAAAATAAATTAAAAAATTAATAAATTAATTTATTATAAATTAATTAATTATAAATTAATTATTTAAAAAATTAATTAATTTAAATATTAAGTATATTTTATAGGATATATACTTTCTTTATAATGCCATTACATATTTCTATTAATATAAAAAGTTTCAGAGCTTTTTATTCACTTTACTTTTTCGGGATTTTATGAACTGAAAAATGACAGTTTTCGTGAGAATGACCCATAAATCCTTTATTTATGGAAATTTCTGTAAACTTTTTTGCTGTCTTACTCATAGGTTATTATCGATGACTGTCTAAAACTTCTTGATCAGTACAAAGAAGAAGGAAGAAAATTTGATGTGATAATCAATGACTTAACAGATATTCCTATTGCTACATCACCTCAAGGTAGAAAATAAGTTGGACTCATTTTCTCTATCATTGATAAAATATTAAAATAGAAAAACAATGATTAAAATAGTTTGTCATATTTTTAAAGATATTTTTGAGCTGTGACAGCCAAAATAATATCTATCTAAAGTAATCTGAAATATTAATATAAAATTTTTCATGATCACCTGTACTGTTTTCTGAAAAATAAAAACCTACGGCACTCTATCACTATATTGGAAAGAAGGATTAGCTGCAAATATTTAACTGCATGTTAAAATAATATTGCATCTAAGGAACAGCAAACAGAACTCTATTTATCAGCCAATGTAATGTTGCACTGAAGTATTGGTTCATAGAGTTTTTTAAGTTTTTGCCTAAAATATTGGAGTATAGTTACACCTTCAAAATATTTTTATATTAAGAATTATCACTGATTAAAATTTCAATCATATAAAAGTTTATTCAAATTGTATAAAAGTTTGTACTAAATAGAGAATTTTGCCTGATAAAAACTATTTTCTGTAATGAATAGTAATATTAGTACTTATCTACAATTTATGTTCAAAATTTAAATGTAAGTAAATGTGAAAGAAAAATTTCTTGCTAAAATATCACAAATATTTGCCATATTTTTGGTTTTTTTTAGTATTTTGATATAAATAGGTGATAATGCTATTGTGCATTGCTGTTAATAATAGACACTAATTATGAATAAAATTTTTCCAGGAGAATTGTGGGATTTTGTGAAGAAGATTGTACTGAAATCTTTTGCAGTATTAAAGGATGATGGAAGTTATCTTAATCATGTAAGAAAATTATTTTTAATTCTTTTTTTTAATTTTGCAAATTATTTTCTGCTGCATTTTTTTAATACACTTATAAAAAAAAATTAAAGTGAAGCTTTGAATATAGTATTCTAATTGCTATTGAAATGTGTTATATGAAATGGGTAAATTAGGAATATTTTATTACAGAATAATTTTAAATTGTATTTACAAAGTTACATTATAAATTTTTTTACCTATAGGCAAATAAATTCAAATTTTTATTTTTAAAAAGCTAAATATGTTTGAAATGTGTTTTTAACTTTTGGTTTTACATTACGCTCTTATCTCTGACTAATTATCATTCAAAACTCACTTCTCATCTATTTTTTTCTCCTAAATATTTATTTTCCTTTAGATAAATTTGAAAGTTTGAGCAAAGTAATTATTTTCTTTGAACAAAATTACACACATAACAAAATTTATCAAGCAACAAACAGATGTTTCATATTCTTTTAATGAATCTTATAATTCATTAGTTAAAAGTAGCTATTGTGAAAGAATACTGTAATATTATGAGTACAGCCTACTATGCTATTACAACAAGTTTTTCAAGTCACCATCAAATTACTGATATTTAAGGTACAAAATGGAATAAATATTTATTCACATCTGATATTAATACGAAAATTGAAAAATGAATATCATTTCAACTTATTTCCTTCTTATAATTTAAAACCCTTTATGCTTATAAAATAAGCAGACAACCACACTACCAGCCAAATTACCTTCCTCGTAACAAAAGTAAAATCTTCTGCTTTTAGAAATCTTGCTGCATACTTTAAAAAGACATGCCATTTGTTCAAAACATCTGTTTCATGTCCCCATATCTCCGTTTCTAGTCTATTTACTATACTATTGAAAACAAAAGTCAGTGTTAATGACATAAATTTTGAGTTATACGAAAAATTTACATAATTACATTATGTTGACATAAAATTAGTCTTTTGTATTTAAATATTAAATAAGTGTTCTTACTTTTAGAGACAAGCTTGTTATCACTTGTTATTCACAGTATTGATATCTTACAACTCTATATTGTAAGTTATCAATACTGTGAATATTTTCTACATTTGAAATCAAAGAAAATATCTTCATATGTGATAAAATCAAAACTTTTTTATATACATATTTTGTATTCATTTTGATAGAAATACTTATAATTCAGGAAAAAACTTAAAGATTGCATTATCACTAAATGTAATATTATACTATTTTTTTTTACTTCAAGCATGTATTGTTTAAAATTTTATCCATTTTTAATAGTCCCGCAGTAGGCTGATTGTAGAGATTTTAAGCACTTCATTATTCTTTATAAAATAAATATAGGTCTTATACTTTTTATTTGTTACTTCTTATTTGTGTATTATATGAATATTTTAAAAATTAATATCTAGAAAAATATTATTGCTGGTTTTGATTTTTTTTTTTTTTTTTGGTAGAGTGTCTACATTATTTTTGAATTAATAGTAAAATAAAAAATATTTTTATTAAAAAACTAATTTTAGAACATAGTTATTTTGAAACATTTTTGGTTCTGTATGAATGCTATCAATTTTTACTAACTTACTTAAACTTACCATTTTCTGAGAGTAGTATTTATATTTTACCCTCCATCATAATAATTAGAATATCTCTGTTTTCCGATCAAAACAAGCGGTTTTATTGTATTTTTAACTTAGATTTTGTATCGATTAAGCAATAGTTTAATTAGTTAACTTTGTTTCTATTGCAAAATATTTTTGGCTGATAAATGTAATAATGAACTGAATTTTATTTTAGGCTTTGGGAGAAGGTTGTGTAGAACCTTTAAAAACTTATGAAAATATGCTTTTAAGTTTACCAATGAAAGTTAAATTTGAAAGCCACTGTGCATTTGTTCCATCATTTATGGAAAAGTATCCTTTTTGGTTATGCAAAATATCTAGTATGACTACATTTTTATTAGGTTTACATTATTTTATCTCTTGGTTTTGTGAAAATTGGTCCTTTGGGGAGATAGCTACTTAGTGTAAATAGAATTTTAAATTTTCTTTTCCATGTTTAAAGCTAGAAAAAAAAGTATTCAGAAATAAACTTAGTATACACAAAGTATGCAAGTGCTAAATTATATTAAGTAGTTTTACCAAATTTCTGTTCCTTTCTTCACATTTACAGACGTCCGGAATTGTAGTAAATTTAAATTAATCTGCCATTACAAGAAAGAAGTTGCTTACTATCTTTGGCTTATCCAATAACAAAATGATTTACTACAATTTCATTAGTCTACGAAATCTAATTGATTTAGTGTTTAACTTCTAGTTTTCCAAAGTAGCCTGTAATAAGTGAAAAACCAAAAATGGAAGAAATGAGCGGTATTGCTTTCTTTGCTACTATCGTATAGAGGATAAACTTCTTTCATGATCAGAGTCAATAAAGTGAACCACCATTATGAGCTTTTTTTTCCCTCCCGTTTTCTTCTAATAATTTTGTTGTTAGATTGATTAACTATGTGTTAAAGAAATACACAACAAACTCAATAAAAATCATACTTTAGTACCTTCTAAGCATTTGAAGTCTCAGTGAATTATTTTTTCCAGTAGCAAAGGACTAGAGGAGTAACTTTTGTATCAAGAGAGTTTAATAAAATTTTTGTCAAAACTTACAAACATGACATATTTATGTGTAGGTTTTGAAAAAAATTCTATTAATTAAAATTTATCAAATTAATAATACATAAACTTTTATACTGCTATACTCTGTTACAAGTTAAGAAAAAACCATTGTCCCTATGGCTCCCAGCGTGATTGAAAATAAAAATTGCCAACTCTTGAAACAACTTTGCACAGTCTTCTTTTTGCTTGCTTTCTTAAATTGTGTGGAAGGGGGAAAACAAAACTTATTGAATAATCACTAAACAATTTAAGAATTAATTAAAATTGTAACAAATACACACCTTTCTGTTCTCATAAAAAGAAACTGATGAAAGAATAATAGTTATTGTTTCTTGCAAGCGATATTCTTCCAAAGTGAATTACAAAAGTAAAAATTCGTTATCTTGCATTTGATCTGTTAAGCATATCATGCACCATTTCTAGTGGTCCAATCAAATTCAATGTTCTTTGAGGGTTATATAACTTGTTAAAGGTTTAATTAAAGTTGACAGACTTTTAATTTCATCTTTTGTGTCCCTCATTAATGGGTTCTTATTTATTCCATATCAAGTGAGGCATGACTATTTTAGTTCTAAATACTAAATTTATTTTTAGGGATACTTTTTAATTCTGTTGCCTTAGCTACAGATTTCTTCCAAATTTCTAACTTTCAGTTAAATATTTGTCAAATCATTAGTAGTGTTTGATATCAGTTGTAGAAAAGTTTTTTTAAATCTTTTATTAAGTGTGCAGAAAGCATTTTTTACTTTAATTAAATATTCCTAGAATTTTCCATTGACAAAGCTTTTCTAAATTTAGTTACAATATTCCACTTTTTTAATGTACTGAAAGTACTGTTACCTTAACATCTGCATAACTTTTGACATGATTTTTATAAGATAAATTTTCTTTACCTATAAAAAAATTTGGTATGTAGTTGACTTTTTTTATTGAAAGTTACATTAATTCCCTTTTTTCCCCCTATTGATAACCATGTTTCAATTTCAACTTCGATTTAAAAATGTTCCAACCCTTTTTTTTAGTTTGAAGTTTAATGAAATTATCGCTTTCGTATTGCATCTTTTTTCCAAATCTTGTATGTAATATAACGTAATGTCATATAAGATTTTTACGAATGACATTAAAAAAAAATTAGTCCAATTTAAGCAAAGTGTTATTACAAAAATTGTGTATGAATAAATTGTACATTTGTAATGGTTTGGAGTGAAAAATGTGCAGAAATATATTATTGTCGACTTGGAAACAGAAGTAGATAAAATCAAAAGATTTTTGTACTCACAGATCTAAAACCTTTCTGAAAGTCAAATGTTGTTCTGCACTTAAGTATTGAAACTCTAAAACATAAATTAATAATTGAGCAATAATAACAACAATAATAATAAACATTGTAAATTGCTTATTATTCAAAACTATGACTTGGTTACTATAAATATTAAATTCTTTAATTTGATTAATCATAATTTTTACAAAATAATTGATATTGCATACTATTACTAGTTTATTATAATTACTTCATTGAATAATTATATTTTTAAATTCATTAATTAATATTTGTTTACAGTATGTTCATACTCCTTAACCATTTTCTAGTTGGGTATTTTATGAAGTCAAGAAGGCCTGACAGAACTGTTTAGCGCTTTATAAAAATCTTCAGTATCTACTTAATGTTTTTATAGTTCTCACATATAGTAAATTTCATATCCTTGGGTTTGTTTTATAGCATTGACTTATCTATAGTACTTGTTTTTACTTTGTCTACAATTTTTTTTAAATATTTTTGTTAGTAAACTGTATGCTAGACAAATTAATTTCAGTTATTGCCAACAGTTTGGATTACGTTCCAAATGTACTCAAACAGTATTGGATTCTTTATTATTCTTGTCATGTACTGGCCAGCGCATATATTTATTAAAATTTAAAGTATAATTTTTATTTTATTTTTATTTGCATCGTAAGGAAAACTGTATTCTACATAAGCGTAAAGAAAAAATGTTAAAAGTTATTTTCTTTTGGATGTAACTATCATTGTGTTTTGTGGTAGTGGATTTAATCTTTACCCTTCCATCCTTTTCCGTGTCTTTTTTTTATTACTAATTTTCCGAATTTGCAAGATAAGTGAAAATCTGTAAAATATATTTTAAATTATTAAGCATAATTACAATTAAACGATCTTTTTTATTACAAGATTTTGTCAATTATTAATTGTATATGCTTAGATCAAAATTTTTACAGTATTTTGTTTAAAAAAATTATGTTTATTTCATTATATTGAATAGTTCTAAGGCTTTTGCAAAAATTAAATGCATAGTTATATTTTCGTTTTAGTTTATTTAAAAATTTAATGCACAGACTTCTCTTATATAGTATTAAATCTAATGTTGTTAATTTGCTAAATAGTAACGATATGTTACAAATTACACATGGTATTCATTCATTTGCTATTGCTTTTAAATAAATAAATACCCAAAACTTTGTAACTAACTTTAATTTTTATTATAAATGACATAATCAAATAATTAAAAACATGTCAATACTCTTCTACTGATAATTTTTATAATGAATTAGTAATCGAGTGCCATCCTTTTTTAACTTAAATGATAAATAAAATACTTCTACTTATATTTTAAGATATTAGTTTGTGCCAAATATTTTATCTTGATTGTTCAAATATCAAAATCAGACATTCATAGTGTGCTTTGTGAATCAAAATATGTCTTTTCTTGATTTGAAATCCGTTGCTGTATAAGTACAATGTGATTTATTTTGGTTACACATTATCTGATTTATTTTATCTTATTTGTGTAAGATATGTGATGCCTTCTTTTTTTCTTCTTCTTTTTTAGTGTTTACAAATTATTTATTATGCAAAAAATTATTTGGCAAGTGTGATATTTTAATTTATTGTGTAAGAAAAACTGTGAATTTTGTACCTTTTTTTTATTTAACAGTATAAACATTTTATAAAAATATTTATCTATGACAGAGATTACTTAAGTATACTTAATTATAAACCTTTTAGTAAAATGTCAAGTTCAAGATATACTCTATCAAAAAATTTGCTCATCTGTGTTTTACTTTTTTTGTATGCAAATTGTATTCAATAATTTTGCATTTGTTGATCAATGTGTGATATAGATATAATTTTATGGCATAAAAGTATTATACCTTTATTAATGTTCAAAGTAATTTGATTGGTCAATATATATTTGGTGCTAATTTACAACATTATTACTTAATAATACAATTCACAATATTTGTATCAATTAGCATATTAATTGCGATATACCTTGTTTTCTAGTCTTTGAAATATCAATTATGATTAGTTTAATGCTGTGTTTTTAATACAATAATAAAAGTATAAGTAATGTTATAACAAATTTGTGAAATTGTTTCATATTTTTCTTTTAGAAATCTGGTGGAAATTTTTGAAATTTTTTTTTAATGTAAATATAAAAAAAACAACAACAATGTATTTTAAATTTTTTTTTTAAATGCAGATAACTGATGTAAAATTAAGAACTTAGTTAAAATAAGAAATTAGTTTTTGGCAGTTCCACCATAATTTTTTTAAATATAACACTAAGATTAGCATATTTACACATTAGATATGAATTAAACTGTGCGTCTATTCAACTGCACAATCGTAAAATTAGTAGTTAGACTTGAAATTCTTCTAATTAATTTAATTTTGTTTGGGGATCACCTTTGTTGTGATAAATCTGTAAATACACTATTAAACCATGTAATTCTTAATTTGTTAAGTTTAATTTAACATCAATATTGCTTAATTAGTTTGTGAAGTTTGCATCAACCACACAGTGTCTAGTGCTTCAAGTTATTTGAATACAGGGTTTACTGCAAAAAGTATGCACATCAAAAATTTTAAATAATGATATTAGAAAACGTAAATTGACATAAGTATCTGAATAATTATTAGAAACACCTCCAGGCAGTCAAACTTTTTTTGAAATTTTGCATTCCACCTGCCTTACTCGCTAGTGATTTCTTAAGTGACCTTGCTTAAATATTGATTTAGGATCGTTAATGTTAATACTTTTTTCGGAAATGTTTTAAAAACAAATAATATAAAAAATAAAAAAAATTAAGTCAGTTTCTACTCTGGTCAACAAAGAAAAATTTTATTTCAGTTACTCTTTATTAAATAATTACAATTAATATAAATATGTATATGCATATGACAGAATCACAATATTAAGTGGCAAAATAGAAAGCGAATTCCTTCAATTAATTAATTAAATTTAATTAATGAATTAATATTTGAAAAAAATGTATTTGAACTTAAGTGGATGAATAAAAAGTATTTTATTAACGATTGAAAATACGTAGTAGGAATTGAATGAAGAATCTAGCAATTTAAAATCCTGTACATTAGCACTTTGAAAGTGACGCATATTTTTAATGAAGTTCCCGTCGGGCCACACACACTGTTGTGGTTTAGCAATGCAGCTAAATCTGCTAACATATTAAAATAAATGAAAATTTGATTTTGTGATAATTGAAAATTATATAAGTTTTCAGTAAACTTAAAGCAATGTAATTCTTTTAGTTTTAGATCATATTTTACTCTTTTTGTTCCAGAGCAACTGACGTGGCACTCAATGTGTTAAAGTAGTTTTTTATTTATTTTAAAATTCAAATGTTAAACATATTGCATCATTTCTGATATTAAACTTACCATGTTTTTGCTAGTCATCACATGTGTGTGGGTGTTACATTTGTGTTTGTTAATCGTTGTGTTATAAAGTGCTGTGATGACCAAAGATTTTTATTATCTATTTCTATTGATGTTTAATTATAAGTTATTAATATATGGTTCTCTTGAAAGATCTGATGCACAATGCTAATATAATCACCATTAACTTTAATTATAAATTGTTCCTTGTATGCATCTTATGTGTGCTGTTTGTAAGTTAATTCTTTTATCTTTACTCATAAGAACTTATTTTTCTTTGAAACTCATTGAACACAATCATTCTTTGCCATTCCTTAAACCTTATCGTTCCTGAATGTTTTATAAGATTGTGAAATATTCATTTCCTCATTTTTTTTTTATCCATTCAATATATTCCTATTTTTTACAAAGTTCTGTGTGTATGAATGTTACATTTTTCTAACTCACAATTTTTGAAATCATCTTAGAATCTTTCCCTGCTAATTGTGAATTCAGTGTCAAATGATGTTTGTATAGTTAATATACAAATGTTTGGCAATTGTGATTTACCTTGGAATAAATTAGATTTCTGCATCATTTAGTTTATTTACTTCCATCCATTTAACATACATATAATACATTTAAATTAACCTGAAATCAGAAGTATTGTAATCAAACGTTTTAGTAAATTACTCAAATCCATTCAGTAAATGTTTTTAAGATAGCGTTAAAAGTGTATAAAAAACTTATTTATATTTTGTAAAAGTATTAAAATTAGCTTTTAAATTTAGCACAATGTATAAACTGTCACTGTAGAAAATTGTCTTTTTTTAAAGGAAAAAAAATCTTACGCTTTGTTTTATCCAAAAATTATATTTTTGGATAAAATAAAGTATAACAAGAAATCTGAAAATGATTATGTAATGGTTCTAATTTTAAATTATGATATAATATAGACAATATGCAACAAAAGTTTTTAAGTGGCACTAATTATAACATATTTCTATTTAGAAAAGAATCTATGCATCCAATGTTTGTATAGACTTCATGTTTGGGTTTAATCAAGGAAAACTTTATAATATTTTTCTGTTAAGAACTTAACATGCATAAATTTTTGAGAATCTAAAGCTATAGTCTTACCAGGGTTGCCGGATTTAGCCAGACCAATGAAAACAAACTTTCTTTTTGAGCAAATATTTTTCAGAAACTGTAATGGAGGAGTATAAAATTGTTGATAAATGCATTGCCATGATTTTATATTAAGAACAATGCTGAGCAGCAACTTTTTAAATAAAATATATGAATTGTTTTCAAATGACGTGCACTTAGATAAAAAAAAAGTTTAAAAAATGCCCAATTTAATAAATATTTATTTCAAATTTAAAATACATTCTGAAGTTCTAAAAATATTCTTAAAATTGAAGCACAGCTAGGATGAATAAGAACATAAATGAAATTTGTTTAAAACATTTTGGGACAAAAACGTCCGATTTTGAGAAAAATCTGAAGTAGCTATTACTTATATAACATTTTATCTATTTATGAAATAAATGCCGTTTAAGAAAAAGTAAAAATTAATTTCAACTTCGAAAATATTAAAAAGGGAAGCAACTTCTGTTGATAAATCTTGATATCCTGAATAGTAAAGTTAATCTGCACAGTAAAATTTATATTAGTACAAGTATAGTTAGTTTCTGATAAAAAAATTTAAAAAAAAAAACTACCCTTTGAGTTTAATTAAATATAATTATGTGGTTTTAAATTTTTATTTAAAACTTAGAGTATGCAATACGTTTAAAAAAACTTTCTTAAATGGTTAGATTTGTAAAACTTATCAACAAAATGTTAATCTTTTATTAAATTATGAATAACTACTTAGGATGAAGTTTTATTTTCAAAATACGTACATTGCTTATGTAAATATTTTTGAAATTTTGAACTTATTTTTTTTCCTAAGTTTTTGTTACATTTTAGTATATTATAGTATATTCAACAACTCAAAACTTCGATGTATGTATATCTATATATATACACAAGTATTTTTTTTATGTAGTATTAGTACTGATACTAATACATAATTTGCGTAAACAAATATAGTCATCAATAAAGTAAATTAAAATACATGTACGTTATTTTGAATAATAAAATAGCCAATAAAGACTGGTTTTTTTTAAAAATCAAAGCCGGCTTCCTGAAGTAGCAGAAAAAATATTTAATGTACAGTGAGTAAAAAAAAAGTGAGAAACCTTAATATCCTGTTTTAATGATTGGATTTCCAGGAACTAATTGTCAATCTCTATAGTTCAAAGGGGGTATACTCAAACTAATTAATTAGTGCTTACATTAATTAGCTCTATGTATTAATGCACAGAATCAGGCACAAAAAAGTACTTCCTTTGAATTGAGAGGGGGAAATCTGGGCAGTATGATCCCAATAAATTAATCAGAACAGCGGTCGAAATTTTGACGCCATTTAATATTAGTTCTTCTCTTTGCTTATT